AAAAAAAATTGTTACAAAAAGTAATAGAAAAAGTTGATGAGCATTAAAATTAAATTTTCAATTAAATTCCTATAGTTGATCGAAATCTACCTTTAGTCTGGCATCATGTGAACCACGCACGTATTAGAAAATAAAAAAAGAAATAATGTAAAAAGTGGATATGAAGCATCAAATGAAGAGTGAGATAACGATTAATAGCTAAATTATATTAACCACAGTTTTTTTTAAACAATATAGGATTCCTATGGATTTAGAAATATTCAAATCAGTGTAAAAGACCAGTATCATTAAATTGTCCGGAGAAACTCGCAAGAAATTTTTTAAAATTGTCTCTTGCTATGATAACCGCCTATCTTCTCCATAATTTAGCATACAATAGTAGTAGTCTTGTGTCACTTGTAGGGCACATTCCGGACGTTCGGCGTATGGTGGTCTGGCAGTACGACCCAAAGTTTCCTTTTATATAATTCGGTTTCGAACATTATTTCTTATTAAGGCGTGAATTAAACCATCATTACCAGGTAAGCACCTAACGGATATTGTTGATAAAGAACCATGTACCGTTCGTTTTAAAAACAAATCATTATATACTATTTTTATAATTTATTAATTCCAGAGAGCTTTTGCAGCCTATGCGTGTATATGTGCGTGCGATAAAACACATTTTGAAACTAATTCTTCGCGTTCCATTGGTAACGAAGAATTACATCATTTCCATATCTCTACATCCAAAGTAGTTGAAGCAACATACGCAAGTGGGTTAGGTAACAAGTATCCCCAGTGAAGCAATGCAGATATCATCCGTAAGATTTGGGTTTGGCTTTTTGTGGGATTTTCAAAAGAAGATTGCTCGCAACCTTCACTATGAACTTATAGCTAAAACTGCTAATCTAATGCGTAATGGCCCACAGCTCTACTTAAGAGTTGGAAACCCTTTTAGAGCTCTAGCAATCCGTTTTACGGCATATATCAACCAGCAAAGCGATGAGATGTCAAAAAAATCTTGCGATTTTCCAGGTGATCATACGTATGTGCTATCATATGGTGTCAATGAAGCTTTAAAATTGAAATAAAATGTAATTTAAGACCCAATACTTATAATAATACTTCTAACGTAACATGGAAAGATAAGAGATCTGCAAGACGAGTTCATCACCATCGCAAAATTTATCCTGGGCGCTGCTAGGCTGTCTAATTACGATTATGTCAAGAAAAGTTTGTAGATCTACTTTTCGCATTCTTTATGATCACTTTTAAATAAAAGTCCCAGAAAACTTTCTATATGCTTTGAAAGCATCTCTTAGTCCTAATTTTCGTGCCATCCGCTTAGCCATCCTCGACGCCATTGTCTCGAAAGGCCCCTAATAAATTCCGATTTCGCATGATTTAATCCCGAGGGATTGTGGTTTGACGCGCGGTCTATGACTCATGACCACTGTTCAGATGCTATCTCCAACAATGAATGTCCTCTTCTGCAGTTGACCACTACTTCGCTGGAAATTCAAATTTGCCTCGATAGATGACCTATGCAGAATCTTCCTATACGTTGAGGATGTTGATCTATGTATGGTTAGCGATGTCATTCGCCATTTCTATCACTCAGCTGCTAGTAACAACGCAGCCCGAATGGATTGTGAATCGAGACCAAATCCAGGTAAACATACAACTTACAAAGCTCTTATGGTGCTATACAAGAGTCAACTCCAGGGACTTTTTGCCATCTGCACAGCCTGGGGCTGCGAATTGCGAGAAGTGAGCGAGCTGGTGCCACTGTTTTTGCACACCGTCGGTTCGCTGCTGTTTCTGCTATCGGCCATCGCCCTCGTACCTGCTATTTTCTGCTCGGCCACCGCTGCTCCTCTACAGACTATCGCTCATCTCCAGATTGCTGCCGGTTTGTCATCCTACGCATCTTCTTCTTTTGTGTCATCGAGCGAGAACTTTAGTTTCTAAGCAAAACTAATTAGTCCCTTTTTTTGCCAATTGGGGAGTAAACAACATTGATACCATGTATGTGTTGCTGGCTGCATGTATTTCATACATCCAACATCTATCGGATGTGTTTCCGACCACACAAACATTTCATTTACTTGTTCTGGTAAAATTGGACCAAATACGAAGAAAAATCATAGCAGTTCTGATATCTGTAAGTAATAAAGAAACTGGAGATTTGCTAAAACAAAAGAACAATTTGCTCAGGCAACTGTAAAATCCTTTATGCTCATCCAGATTTATCAGAATTTCTCAATTATCATGTGATCATTGGATTTCCCCTACCTTTCAAACTATTATGTGCGAATTCTCATAACGTGCTTGCACTCTCTCAAGAACATTCCTTATGCGGACCAACATCTATAATTTTACTAAAATTATAACAGAATTGAAAATTCTTTCTCTTCACGACCTACATTCAAACAGCAAATGATTGTTTTAATTAAGCAAACATGGGTCATAAGTGAGTCTTTTCTCAGTGAGTATCAACATGAGATTATAGCAATATGCAGCAAAGCGCCAAGAAAATATTGGCTCTAATCACTCTTTTTCCCAAGTAAAGTAGGAGGATCTACTGCATATAGAAGACTAGCTGATAATGCATATGGAGGTATCCTTTGAGAATTTAGACAGAGCTTGGTATTTCGATGATTATAGATAGAAGTAATTATCAGCTTCATGTCTGAGTCGAGAAACAGATGTACAATTTGCGTAAGTTTGATTCTTATTTTTGATTTTCTTAAACAATATTAACTCGTTTCTGGACTTGACTAATACTATGTATTGCAATCAACAATTTTCAAAAACAGAACTCATTGCGTTAAATAGGTATTTTCAGAAATACTATCGAAAATTTGCTATTACTCCCAAAGACTAATCCCAACTACCTTTTTAAAATAATAGCTTTTGATAGGATAGCACGTGATTTAAAAAATCCAAATGTTTCTTCTGTTTAAAAAAGAAAGATTGGAAGAATATGAAGTAATTAGAAAATTAATGATTCTAAAAATTTATTAGCCACCTCAACCAAAGCATCAACAAAGACAAGAAGCAGGTCACTCCTACTTCCAAACCTCGACTTCTTCTTGTTTCTTGTCCAGAGAGCACCTCGCATTTCTCATCTATCTTTTGCTAATTAGTAAGCAATGCAAAAGGATACCGTATCTTGGCCACGCTGCATCACGGAATCCCTTAGGGAGTGCCGATGTTCGCTTAATTGAATCTAGTAATCCCTTCCATTTCCCGTGTGCGCAAAGATTTGGAGTAGAAAGAGGCGCCTACGTCGTCGTTAAACAAAAGGGATGCGAATTCGCTTTCAATGGATTTAATTTAATGAACATTTCGGACTGGAGATGCCATTACTAGTTACTTTCGAAGTTTTTTTAGAGATAAGCAAGAATAGAGTTCGTTATCATCGGAAATGAGGATAAAAAAGGTTTTATGCGGTAAACTTCCCAAATGACTTCATTTAGAACACTTTGTCGTTGGGACTAATGATGTCAGTAAAATTTACGCTACAATTTCATTTGATTGGAAACAACTGTGCAGCAAGTAGTCATCTCACAAAAAGCAAGGGATTATGGTAGTGTTAGAAAATCTTTCTTCCACTGCTTCCTCCAC